TGTCGTAGCGAGACGAGTTTTTTTTGTTCTTCACACAAAAAAAACACCAAGACCTGATATATCATAGATAATAATAAAACATGTTATATCGTATTATCCCTGAAAACTATTTCTATTTTCGTCAACAAATTTTCGTCGATTTTCTGAACGGTATCTGATGTGTTAATAGCATCAAAATTTCGGTATGAAAATTAATTTCCTTGTGTCTGAATGCACGAAGAAACTGATCCGATAAAAACGCGAAATGTAAATTTTGAATCTCTTTTTTAATTTTAGAACGCGCCGTGTTCGTGAAAGTTACGGAAGGAGAAACGATAGCATAATCAAAGTACAACATTCTGGAGCACCCTGCGTTCGGATTCCGCGTGCAATCTGATTTTATTGGTCGACAAGCATGGCGCGGGCTCGTAGCAGGACTTTATTGAAGTGTTATGTGCAGTCACAAAACGCCAGGAATTCTGATAGCGGCGAATTACGCAACGCGTGCCCCAGTTCCAAGAATTTTTCGATCCCCCGAACACGATTGGATCGTTGAAATGCAGCGACGAAAATGGATCTCTTTTGGCGTCCAATCCAATCGATGCGATCGCTTTTCCGCTCGGCGTTTACTCGTCCCATCTTGATGTCCCGCAACATGCCAATTATACAGCAAATTCTGTCGCTCGTACAGCCGCGCCTTACCGCATTTGTTGCCCTTTCCCGTTAACCATCGTTGTTGTAACAGGCGCATGATAAACATCGGGGGCTAGTGGCAAAGGGTACACAAACCACCGCCGGTTTCCGCGTCCGCCATATCGGGAGACCTGTTAAATAATTTACCCTGTGAATTGGCCCGCACCGCCGAACATGCCTACATTTGTCCTACTTTCGCGTCCTCTCTATCCTTTACCTTTCTATCGCTTCATCTACTTCCTTCTAATTCTCCACCATCGCGTATCTCCGGCTCCGACCCTCCGGGCTCTCCACCCATCGGTGGGGTGTTTCTCCCTGCGTGCGCCTGTGTACATCCGCCCGCGCGTGTGCCACCCTCAACCCTCGGTTCCTCGGTTTGCCTTCTTCGTCATACCGGGCGCGTGTTTGTTCAGTCGGCGGTTTCGGGGGGCGGCTTGACGCCGTTTTCCCGGATGCAGCGGTAAAGGAGCCCGGCATCACGTTTACACACCCCTTTACGCGCGCGACTCCAAACGAATTACCGACGTTACAAAGTCAAACAGGCCGGCGATAATAATCGACCATGGAAAATTTATGGTTTTTTTAATAAGTTTCATCGTTGCTCATTAGAGGTTATAGCTGTACACTCCCTCCTAAGAAAGTGTAAGTTGTGAATAAAAAATATATAAAAATATACACGATAGAAATTGCCATTCACCATCCGTATTTTGAATTCCCTTTTATCGATAAAAATGTCTTTAAAAGTACTTATAGTCAATCAGAGAAGGTTTACAAGCCATTTTGAGAGGCACTTTTATCGATAAAAGAGAACTTACGCAGAATACAAACCTATACATTTTCAAGAAAAAGCGACATCACATCTCTCATACAAGAGTTCAAAATTTTAAGATACATTAAATCGCGAAAGTGAAACAGACATCAATCGATGGATTTTCTTCGATTGATTGATGTAAGCAGAAACATTCATATTCTATTAAATATCCGTAAATAAATCAAAATTCCCCGTGTTTTTCTACATATTAAAGTTTACCTATTCCGCTTGTGTACCGCTTACACGCAGGAATCAGGTCGAGTTGATGGCGTACTCGAAAGGGTAACCGACGATTTCCCATTGAGAAATGGAATATTCGTTCAATGTCCCGTTTCCATCTTTTCCCCCTTTTGCGGCGAGTGAGAAAGTAAAGAGCATTTTGTCAAAGTTTTCCTAGTGCATTCTTTACCTTGGCAAGAAAGTTGCGCCTCGTGTTTGCACGACGGCACGGTGCTCGTGCGCGAAAATACCGACCATTCATTCCTTATAGATTCGAGAGAATACGAAATGGCAATTGTTAGTTTGAAGATTAATAGTTTCAGCTTGATAATTCTCTTATTCCCGTCGATACTTAACGCCACTATCCCCGTGCGCATTTTTAACGGCGTCGGGATATCGTCTGCAAAGTAGATACACCGGAAATTCCATTCCGTTCACTCATATTCAACGTATATGTAAAAATATGCGAAATACAATTTCCGCAACTCGCGCCATTTCGCCCTTCAATCGCCATCCACCTATCTTCCTTTTATTGCTTTCCGGATGTGCTGGTTTCTACCTTCCGTATGTTTGGCGAACTCGTCGGTTTGCCAGCGACGCCTGAGTCTACAGAGAACAAGTCGCATCCACGTTTGCGCTCTCGCGATGTTTACAGCGGTGCTTTGATCAAATTACAAGGTTCGCACTTTCAAGCTGGCGTATGGCTGCAGCGCAAATTGGATTTTGTGTATTAGAAAACAGTCGGCGGAAACATTGGCATACATCATGGCGTACTCGATCTCAGAAGGAAGAAACCAAAGAATGGATGCTTTATGATATTTTATGAAAGATAACAAAATCTTGTCGTTGCCAAAATCCAACAGTTCGAGCCGAGCGTATAGGTTTTTCTTTTTTTTTTTTTTTTTTTTTTCAAATTATTACGCAAGAGATACAGGATATCGACGATGATGAATTTCGCTGAATTTACAATCGCCTGAATGGTGAACGTCGACAAATTCGATTCCACCATACCAATCAATATGCGACCAATCAATGCGCTACTTTGCATCCGCTCTTCGCATCGTACGGCGCGTTTAAATCCGTACGCGCGTATGTCCCGTGTATACACGGGCGCGGGTAATGCGATGTATTACCGATTCACGACGGCGTTCGTGTTTGCTTTGAATAATTACTCCGGGATCGTCGTGTCGACGGGGATACGTATGTGTTCCGCGTTACCCGAGAAACGGATATTCGCCACGCTCTCAAGTAAACGCGATACACGCGGTGCGAGGGCACAGCCGCATATGGACACACGCGTCCGCGTGCGGCGGCGCACGCACGTACGTGCACGCACGCGGAATACGTAAGCGTCTGCGTGCGCCAAGTCCATCGATGGTTCATTGTCTAAGTCATCAATTTGCGAGGTTCATGAGAGGATTTAACGAGGTAATAGGACTCGCCGGTGCTATTAACATTTTAATTGCGTCATTAACGACCCCCTTCCGCCTTCCGTAACGTTTAATCGGCATGTTCCTCGACCGATTCCGTGCCCGTAACGCGGCCGTTAACGTCGCGGATTTCCGCAACGTTGAGCTTCACCGATTTTAATAAATTTTTTATAAAAGTGCCCGCTCGCTCTGCAGCCGCATCCGGAAAATGATGACATTTCACGTGTTATGTTATCTCGGTTTGCTCTTTGTAAATGTTTACGTGACGCATTCTATTCCCGATAACGCAATCGCTATCTCGCGCAATTTTCACCCGGGGCATAACTTCAGTGATGCACGGATATGCAAACGCGTCAACGTGTGAATATTCAAAACCACGTATCAGCGGAGCGCAAAGGTGCGAAAGCGGAGCCACGTGCTCGTTGTCGTTTGTTAACGAGTTACTTCGTGCGTAGGCCATTCATCATCTGGCATTAATTACATCGTATCATTAACACCGCCACATCGTCCGTGATGAATCTCAGAGCTCGCGTCAACCGCCGCGCAGAATTCGGATGCGCGCGAGATTCAGGTCGCCGTTATGCGAGCGAGAGAACAATCGATCGCGTTCTCCATTAATATCGGAATCTAATTCTGAGAAGTAAGAAACAGCTTCGACGAATACCTGCACCCGAACAGAAGTCACATATCGTCAAATAAAAAAATTAGTAATCTTTCCGGCAATTTAAAAAAGGCGTAATAATGAAGTTAAACAATTAGATCAAATAGTTGTGTAAGCCGAGTTCTTTTCTAAAAAAGAACTCTTTCGTCTTCATCGCAATCGTTAAATCAGATTTAACATCGTCGATAAACTTTAGATTATGCGTCGGGCTATACCGGGCTGCGTTTTTCTTCTCTCGCCACGCCCGGCGCCGAGTCTCGCAGTGGAAAAAGCCGATTCACGTCAGCCGCGTTCGCGCTCAATTAATCTCCGGCAACGGCGGTGGCGAACGACGATGTCCGTTTTGAAGGTAACTCTGCTCTGCCGGCACTCGTTACGTCTAAGGTCAACGTGGGAAAGGATAACGAGACCGCTCGTGGTCGGGCGTTAGACGCCCGGAACGATGGATGAGACGGCTATGAAAGGCAATAAAATCGCGCCCGACGTGGTTGGCGCGTCAGCTGCGTCGTTATAAATCGGCAAGTAGACCGATTAATTGAGTTCACCAGATTGTGCAGTCCCATCGGTGGACGCGCACCCTCCTCTCCCCCCCCCCTCCCCCGCATTCTGTTTCTACGCACGACCACACGCGCGCGTGCACGCTTTCTGCCTCTGTTCACCCCCGGCTTGTTTGGCCCGGGGACGTTCGACCAATTTGCAGTAACTCGATCGGCGGCGCCGACGGTGACTGACTAAAACTCCAAATTTGCGGCCTCAATGAGAAAACATACAATAGCATTGTTGTCGGGGCCCGTTAACGTAGCCGCGTAGAAACGCAACGAGGCACTTGCCCGAGAGTGCGCGTGTTTCCTCGCTGGAGAATTGCCGTATCGTACGTGTCCACAATGCGTTGCGATTACGTAACTACCGTGAGAACATTCGCGTTAACGCGTTTGAGGTACTCGTTTCATTAACGTAAAACCGAAAAGAGTAGCATTAAGATCGCTCTTGTAGGATTAGATTCATATTTAAAGAATTAACTAATCAAATTGGTGGAAAGAGAATTGTGAAAAATTGACGGTTAAAATATAGAAAGGTGAATCTTAAAATACGAATATGAAGGATTCTTTGGAAATCTTAAAATGTACGTAATACGGGGGATATATAATAAGAAGAAACGTATCCTTTTCATAAGGATAACTCTGTCGCTTCCCCGTCTACTTTTCAGTGCTTATATTAGACGTTAGCGCAGTGGCCGGCTTCAAAGCTCAGATGCCTTGCGACATCGATCCGCCGATTAAAGACGAGACGGTCATCATGGTATTTTGGTACAAAGATGAAAAGGACGGCGAACCGATATACAGCGTGGATGCTCGGGGGAGGCAGATAGCTCAGGCGAGGCTTTGGTCGGATCCGGACGTGTTCGATGAAAGGGCGGTTATGAAGACGGACGTAAAGCCCGCCGAGCTCGAGATAGATCCTTTGGAGTCCACAGACGGTGGCGTATACAGATGCAGAGTGGATTTTAAGAATAGCCCCACGAAGAATCAGAAGATTAACCTTACAGTCATAGGTGAGTCACAATGAAAACTGAGAATCTCTATCTTCGCGCAAATAACTCTGAGTTATTATTATAATTCTAAGATATTATAAATATTCAAATTTCTGCCAAATTCACCTATTGGATAATTTAATATCTTGATCAATTTTATACTGTTATACCTCTCACATTTAAGTAAGGCAAATTTGTAACGTTGCTTGTGAACTAATTGAGAAGAAACGCTATTTATATGCTATTTGAGATCTTCTTCTGCGAAAGAAACGAATAAAAAACTAGTAAAATTTAGATAAATTGAACCTCTATACAAATAGAAACTTTTTTATATATTATATATAATTTGGGATTATATAATAATTTGTTAAAATTAAAATAAAGAAATTAAAATATAGAAAAATACAAAAATTAAAAATAATGATTAACGTAATTCGACAAACGCTATGTATGAATGTATTACGAGATAATATTTCTATCATTCATTCATTTTTCTAAAAAATATCATTTATTCATTTTTCTAAAAAATTTTTTACGTAAAATATGATACATAAAAACTGGCAAGATATTTAATATTTAAAAAAACGAAATAAATTATAAGTAATCTAGAAATATATCTCAACTGTCTTCCGGAAGCTTTAATTTTTCATTATTATTCCAATTATCTGTTATTACGGCGGGATGTCGCATTTTATGATGCAAAATCGTGGCTTATCGAGCGACGGATTGTGTTTTATGGGATTTTAATCAGACGGCGCTTATGGAGCGTCCCCGTTATTCGTGATTTATTCGTTTTGTATTATGTGCACTGGAGAGCTTTACGCGAGAGCGGTGCATAACCGCGGAAAACAGTAGTAAATCGGAGAGATAGTTTGATTCGCCGGCCTCAACTTTCCGTGTGCAGCAGGATATTGGATAGTCATGTGGAAATAAACCTATGAGACGAAATAAAATTACGGAGGGATGCGGTTGGATCAATTCCAGCGAGATGTGGGAACAAACAACCGTCAGGTCATCGCGATGCGCTCAGTTTGTAAGATCGATGCAATTACAGCAATACGATTCTGAATCAATTAACTCAATGTCGTAGTACTGACTCAACAGGTGTTAATATCACCTGTGGTCACCAGCGTGCTCTCAGAAAAAAAAAAAAGGATCAAGCCTGGCCGTTATATCTTAATTCTCATTTCGCGGCCGTTACCCGTCGCAGATGCGATTTCACGACGCGGAAATTGAATAACGTTGCCTAGTTAAGAGGATTCAGAGATTTAAACGTGTTTGCTCCGATTTCGATCTGTCGAAAACTATTAAATCGGTTTAATTTATTATTTTATCGAGATTACGGGGAGTATATATGTCGATGGTAGATTTATTTAACGAGTGGAATCGATCTTATTAGAAAATGATAACGACGGAAATCGTATATATAATTCGATATAATGGACACGTGACACGCAGTGCAGATGTCACGGAAATAAATTTCTATGATCGAAATTTGATTTGCTGACAGTGCCACCGAAAAAGCCGGTGATATATACCGGCACTAGCAGGAATCGGGCTGAAATAATGCAACCGTTTAACGAGGGAAGCGAGATGTCCCTATTCTGCGAGGTGATCGGAGGGTCGCCTCCACCGAGGGTCACGTGGTATTTCGACGGCAAAGTTCTAGACGATACGTATACGCAGGAGCACGATGATATAACGATAAATCGACTGGATATCCCGAGGGTTACCAGGGGCTTCCTGAGTACAAGGCTAATTTGTAAAGCGAGCAATACTCAGCTTATGACACCTCTGACGGCTGAGATTGTGTTGGATGTAAATCGTGAGTGCAACAGAGATATATTTAATATTTATATCAGTCGGATGAAAATTTTAAAAATAACTTATAGATTAGACAACAAAGTAACTTTTATAACAATAATTTTTATAAAAGTAATTTTTATTCTTGCTTCGTCTTTTTCTTATATTTTTTTTTAATATTAAATTTCGCGAAAAAAAAACATAAAAAGATTTATGTAATTAAGTATGTCCATTAAGTGTAAATAATTTATTTATTGTTGCACTAATTCTACCTCGAAGATTTATTAAAATTTGTAAATTGATAATATATAATGAGGGGAGAAAAATTAAAATATCTCGATGGACATTGTATACCCAATTCATCATCACTTAATTCTTAATCGCAGTGAAACCGCTCATGGTCAACATTACGAATAAGCGATTTCATTTGTCGGCATTAAGAACTTACGAGATCGAGTGTATCAGTTCGGGTTCCAGACCGGAAGCGGTGATCACCTGGTGGAAAGGGACTCACCAGGTCAAGCATATGGCTAGAAATGTGAGTATATCTTTCGCGAACGGACAATTATCGTTTTTAATATATGGGATGCGTTTCTACATCGCGATGGTCTGGATTCTGAGTTCTTCGTAGTTTGCAGACAATCCGAACGTCACGAGAAGTGTGCTGAGCTACGTGCCGACCATCGAAGACGATGGCAAATTTTTGACGTGTAGAGCGGAAAATCCCGTGGTGCCTAACAGTGCCTTGGAGGATAAATGGCATTTATTGGTGTACTGTAAGTCATTACTTTTCCTTCGTTATTTATCGTGAATATTATTGCTTTAATTTAATTTAGTACAATTCTCGTTAGCGTACAAGATAAAATTTCAATTTGAAATTAATGTTGAATCTTGATACCTATCTCTTCATTTTCTTCCCTCAATATTCTTCTCTCAACGATAATTTTCTATTTGCGATCGCGTACGAAATTATAGAAAATGAACGAGAGATACTTCTCGCTACCGATGCTTTCAGACGCGCCGGTGGTGAGCATTAAGTTGGGTTCCAGTTTGAAGGCGAATGATATAAACGAGGGCGACGACGTCTACTTTGAGTGCGACGTACGAGCCAATCCAAAGTCTTACAAGCTACTTTGGTTCAAAGACGGCAAGGAATTGCATCAGAACGCCACCGCGGGGATTATTCTTCCCGGTGGGCAATCCCTGGTATTGCAGAGCGTGACGAAAAGCTCCGCCGGGGAATATAGCTGCATGGCAGCCAACGTCGAAGGGAAATCCGCGAGTCGACCAGTAACCCTCGAAGTGATGTGTGAGTACAATCCCTTTTTATGTTCGAATCGATCCGAGCGCGATTGAGGTGCTGACTGAGCTCGGCACGAGTGTTTTTAATTCATCATCTCGAGCCCTCCCGGCGCGGTGACAACGTCGTTATTCTAATTTTATTAATGCATTCACTCACCTATCGCAACAACATTGTCGATATTGGTCGCGCGCTGGTAAGTCGCGTTTACATAAAACCGTCAATTATCAATCCATGCACCGTTGTGGAGGAATAGAAATCGGAGATCGCCGACGGCTTCACAATCGCCTTTACTTTTCTCAACGGTTACGAGCGTCCATGAGCGCGCGAGAGCGTGCGTCGCGGTAAATTAAATCTACCAGCCGGCGTCTTCGTATTTTCAGACGCACCGATCTGCAAGGACGGCTCTTCCACCCAAGTGGTCGGCGCCCTGAAGCACGAAACGATCTCTCTGGTCTGCGGCGTACAGTCGAAACCGCCGCCCACGACCTTCCAGTGGACATTCAACAACTCCGGGGAGTTGATGAGCGTACCGGCCACGAGATACTCTCAGGTCAAACCGCTCAGCCTGATCACGAGCCACTGGCACGGCTCCAGACTGAATTATACGCCGGAGAACGACATGGACTACGGCACGGTTTCCTGCCTGGCGACAAATCGGATAGGGACGCAGAAGACGCCCTGTCTCTTTCAGATCATCGTCGCCGGGAAGCCCTATCCCTTGCAGAACTGCACGGCCCTCCAGTCGACCGGACCCTACGCGTACCGAATGGGTAAGCGAGCCGGGAGGGTCCCGGCAACCCTCGCAACGACCTGCTAAATGCGCCATTACACCCGGCCATCATCGTGGATGACGCCTTGTGGTCGATACTTTTGTTGCGTTCAACAGCTTGTTTCCTTGTTTCCCCTCGAAAGATGCGATAACCATGAAAATACCCGTGAAATTAGCCTTTATTGATCATCAATGCTTTTAAACGGGATCTTCTTTCCTGTAATTTAATTAGATAACTGGCCCTTTATAGTAAAGTCGTTTATTAAAACTTTTAGATAACGTTCAGTATTTTTTTTTAAATTTTTATTTTAGACAAGACGAAAGCTCGAAGACATTTTCTGATCACAACTAAATTAAAGTGCAGTTCTCGGTAAACAATGCAGCGCTCCAATATAACTCATTTTAAAGGTTACCTTTCACATTCGGTCAGATTTACGATCGCATTACGACGGACCGGGGATTTATAGTTAGTTAGAGTAGCAATTCCAGATCAGCGCTGCTAATTACAGTCTCCCGGAATATGCTCTATATACTTATTATGCAAGTCTAGTTAAGACTATTATCCAATTAATTCGGTCTGAACCCCTAATCGACGCTATCGAGTATGCTTTACCACGGCGACGCTCGCGTCGGGAAGCAATTAGGTCTAGCGAGTCCGAGTGTTTTTCTTCCTTCGAAAGGGAGCTTAACCGCCTCGACATGTGTGCGTCCGTGTGAAACAGGTCACGAAGACTTTAAAGCCACCGACTCCAGGGACGCGGACTGGCTGATCGTCAGGTGCTCCGAGGGATTCGACGGCGGTTTGCCCTTGACTAATTACGAGCTAGAGGTCTACAGCGAGGAGAACGTTTATCATGTCAATACCATCTACCTGAATCACACCGATAGATCCGGCTCATCCGGTCCAGTTTTCGAGATTCCCGGCTTAGAGCCCGGACGGAATTACAGGCTTCATCTTTATGCCGTCAATGCAAAGGGCCGCAGCGATCCCGTTGTTTTAGAACCGGTCACACTCAAAGGAGTAGCCATGTACACTACTGGTGAGTTCTGTCATTTTTCCGAATAAATCCTATTTGAGATTCTAACGATTTATTATTATCCCGGAGGAACGACCTCATCTGAACGGTACACTTATAAACGAACGTTACGTATCGATAATTATTATTTGAAATCGTTAATCGAACCGCGAATTAAATGAAATAATTTGCCGCGAGATGGTATGAATAAATCTTTATTGACGAATCCCATAGTCTCGATGAAATTATGCTCGCGAGATTATGAAAGGTCTGTAGAAAATTTATTCTTGGGAAAATCTTCGCTATATCTTCTTCGTGTGTAATTTCCAGTCATTATCGATGACTTAATGTATATAGATAGTATTAGTGTCAATAGTGTTTGCCTGTCATAATTAGTTCTCTTACCCTTATTACGTAATCTTAATGTTAGAGATAAAATAATAAAGAGATAAGTTAATAAGCGTTAAAGTGCAATCGTGGAAAGAATTTCGAAATGTTCAGCTGGATTCTTAATTGGATTGAATTGCACGATGGAGTTAAGTATACATGTCGGTACATTATAAATGTTCCTGTTTATTTTTGACAAAATTTAGAGGAATTCGACGATCTGAAAATATTTTAACTTTATTTTATAAAAGACTCACTCGTTAATATATTTCTCATCATGACGTATCTTTTTAAATTTTTACTATTTTTAAAGATTTTACGCTTTTTCTGGCTCACTATTTTATAAATTGAAGGAGTAGCCATGTACACTGGTGAGTTCTGTCATTTTTTCGAATAAATCTCATTTGAGATTCTAATGATATTATTATCCCGGAGGAACGACCTCGTCTGAACGATATATCCTATCGGTATAATCCTATCAAGATGTCTTGTCTTTTTCATGACTACTACAGCAAGTTAGATATGAAGCTATGCATTTATTTCTCATAATAGCAAATAAACTATTTAACAAATGTTTCACGAGTTTGGTTATCGATCCTGGCAATAAAGAAATTTTATTGCCACATTCTGATATCGATTAAATCTATTTCGGATTCGACAGTCGTAATCTTGTCGTGACATTCCTGTAATCAAGCACGATACATGGGATCGTGGGATTGATCAAATATTAATCTATATCGACGATCGGGGTCGTACTGAGTCGACATTACTAATCAACGATTTCCGTCAAAACTTATGCAATTACAGAAATTCAGCATCGCTTTTGAGAAAACGCCATCGCCTCCGCCACCCCCACGCCGCAGAGCCTTCATACGTATCACGCGCTGTTCCACGCGGACCTTGAATTAAAACCCCATAAAATCCAAATCTCTTTGCTTGCCGCTGTCTCACTCCAGCTGCATTTATCGTCTTTAATTTCCATCCTCATGGGTTATTCATGCCGGCTCGCGCACGATTCCACCGTGTGGTAACGCGACGTGCAATCGTAATGTGTGTGTGTGTGTGTGTGTGTGTGTGTGTGTGTGTGTGTGTGTGTGTGTGTGTGTGTGTGTGTGTGTAGT